AAATAAGTCTGGAACTGTGACAAACTCCTTGTGCACAGCTATGGCATATGACTCAGCGCTGCCCACATGGCTGTTGCTCCTATAACAGCTTTTTTATCAGTTCTTTTGTCTTTGGGTAGTTATATTTCTCACAGATTTCTGCTCGTTCTAAATCAGATACAGATAAAGTAGCACAGTAAAGATTACATTCATATGAATGCATTAGTGAGAGCGATTGCGTGTGTGAATTAATTCTACCTGGCAGCGTCTCTCTACTAGTAGTGAAGCTGTGGGATTTAGTTATTAAGAAATATATGCTTGACCTTTTCAGTTTCAAAGCTATTTTATTGAGAAATCACAGAACAGTGTTGACAATACATTTCCGTGCTGAATGATTCTGTGTTCGCGCTCACAACACAGACTCTGGCTCCAAACAAATCTCTACTGCGCAGACTCTGGCTCCAAATGACGTCATTTACTCAAGATGGCAGCGGCCATACTGAGATGCTTTGGCTTCACTTTTATATAGTGAAAGGAATAGGAGATGCGTCGTCCATCTTTTCTTACAGTCTATGGTTCAGACAGTTTCATTTAGATGTTGCACCTCTGATAACTTTTTAAGGCTTATTCTGCGACAATTATATAAGCCTTTTGACGGGTTGTGTCATGATGCTGTAAAACGGTTATACCAAAGACTATAGAATACCCAAGACATGTCACTCGTATAGTTTTGAATGGGGAAAAATTAAAAATATGAAATTTTATCCTAAGCTTAGTGAACAGTTTTGGAGAATTTGATGTTTCCCCATACAAAGAAATAGGAGCTGCACTACTGCCCGAGAGGTGTTTCAAAGATGGCCGCCGAGTGACATGACTTGTCTTAAAAAGACTTTGGTTATACTCACTAAGTGAATGAATCGAGTTTGTGCTGAACTCTTATTAAAAAAGTAAAAACAAGCACTCTCCTTCGATTCATGAACGTTTCTCTCAGATAATGTACGCGATCTCACAATCTGAAGAGTCCGTCATAGCAAATCAACACATGCTGTTGCGAATAATTAAGCGAAGTCTTCTCATAGGATAAGAACACGCAGTCTCATGAATAATTTAATAGACACCAATGCGTCATCAATGTACTATAGTCCATTGCCGCGTCACAAATTGTGACGTCAACACGATGTAGATTTTAAACCCGAAAGATGAAAATAGCGCAAAAAAGCTTAAAATTAACCAGTTTTCTCCATTAGTTAAAATTATCGGATGCTAACATTGTCTTCTATGATGTGCAACACAAACACCTCTGCTAAAATCTCAGAAAAAGTAGTCTGGGGTTTCATGACCCTTTAAAGCGTCATGGCAGAGCATTGAAGTCGACTAGTCGACTACTATATATATATATATATATATATATACACACGAGTATTATGGTGATATTAGCAATATTTATACTTATAAAAGTATAGACGTCTGATGGATCTCATCATCAACTTTTAATTTAACTTATTTTATTTAAATTTATTTTAACTTTTCACTTTATTTATTTAAAGCTTTTATTTCACAGTAATGACAGAAAATCAAAGAATGAAAGCTTTTGCTGCACCTCACCACCAACTATCTAAATAGTTTAAATTAATTTATTTTAACTTTAATTTTACAGGAAAGACAGAGAAGCAAAGAAAAAAGCATCTCAGCATCAGCTTTTAATTTTTTGTAATTTATTTTAGCTTTTATTTCACAGGACAGACCGAAAAATAAAGAAAAGCTTTTGACACACACCAGCACCAACTTTAAATTTAACTGATTTTTTAAAATGTATTTTAACTTGTATTTCAGAGGCAGAAAATCAAATAAGAAAAGCTTCTGATACACCTCAGCACCAATTTTATATATATATATATATATATATATATATATACACACGAGTATTATGGTGATATTAGCAATATTTATACTTATAAAAGTATAGACGTCTGATGGATCTCATCATCAACTTTTAATTTAACTTATTTTATTTAAATTTATTTTAACTTTTCACTTTATTTATTTAAAGCTTTTATTTCACAGTAATGACAGAAAATCAAAGAATGAAAGCTTTTGCTGCACCTCACCACCAACTATCTAAATAGTTTAAATTAATTTATTTTAACTTTAATTTTACAGGAAAGACAGAGAAGCAAAGAAAAAAGCATCTCAGCATCAGCTTTTAATTTTTTGTAATTTATTTTAGCTTTTATTTCACAGGACAGACCGAAAAATAAAGAAAAGCTTTTGACACACACCAGCACCAACTTTAAATTTAACTGATTTTTTAAAATGTATTTTAACTTGTATTTCAGAGGCAGAAAATCAAATAAGAAAAGCTTCTGATACACCTCAGCACCAATTTTTTTATTTATTTAAATTAAATTTATTTGAACGGAAAACCAACAAAAGTAAAAGCTTCTGATGAACTTCAGCACCAATTTTACATTTTCATTTTATTTGAACTTTTATTTCACACTAAAGACAGAAAACCAAAGACCAAAAAGCTTCGATGCACTTCAGCACAAACTTTTAATTTTAGTTTAGTTTTTTATCTATTCAATTATTTCTGTCAGGACCACTATCGTCAAAGATGATTGACAATTAGCATACAGTTTGGATTGGCGGTATGGTTCTGTTCTGGGCAAGAACTCCCTGCGCCTCCATGCAGCCTAGCATGGATGAGAGCAGGGAGAGCAGCAATAACCCCCCAGGGTAAACAGAACAGAACTAACATAAATGTATTGCAGATATTGTTAAAGTTCAATCATTTTATGTACACATTTTAGAATTAGTCTGATTCAAGGAGAATCAGAAGGCTGAATCCCGACTGACAGAAGAGGAGTTGGGGATGGAGGAGGGTAATTAGCTATTGAGCAATGCGAAAACTGCTGATAATACTGAGGGACCTTATATATGAATGATTAGATAGGTGTCGTATTCCCATAGGTAGATGGGGATCAGCTGAAGGTCAGCTGATGCGAGCTTGACTAACGTGACCTGCCAGAACTAACGCTACGCTAGATTTCATTGTTTTTTTATTGTCACCCATAATTTATTTCCTGTGTGCTGTTATTCATTTCCCATCGTCTACAGATAAGCTGCAAAACGCTTCCGAAAAATGAAAACACAGTTATTTATCACGCCAGCAGAGCAAATTAAACCGAAATGCAAAGGGACACATCATTATACTAAACGTTATCACATCACATTAGTGAGTATTTATTGAGAGGGGAAACAGTAAGTCACCTGGAATGAGTTGAAGAAGAGTTCACAGTACATGCGCAGCTCCCAGCCGACACCTGTGAACGTGTGCGGCATTCCCACAAACACGATGTAGTGGACACCGAAAACAAGAACCAGAACCAACGTGGACTTAGCCAGCTTCCTGTACACACACAGATACATTTTCTGTCTGTAAATATTTAAATATTACACCACACTTTATTCACAATGATTAAATCCACATCTATATAAAGAAATAATTAACACGTGGCTCTTACAAACAGGCTACTTCAAACTGTAAGGTTTGTTGAGAATTAAGCAATCAGCAATTTTTTTTTTTTTCCACCTAGCAACCCCCCAAAACAACCACCCACAACACCATAGCAGCTTAGGGTGGCACTCAGAACACCCTAGAAACAACCCCAAAACACCATAGCAACCCCTCAGAACACCCCAAAAACTACTCAGAACACTGTAGCATCCACTCAGAACACCCCAAAAACTACTCAGAACAATATAGCGTCCACTCAGAACACCCCAGAAACTACTCAGAACACCCCTTAAACTACTCAGAACACCGTAGCATCCACTCAGAACACCCCAAAAACTACTCAGAACAATATAGCGTCCACTCAGAACACCCCAGAAACTACTCAGAACACCCCTTAAACTACTCAGAACACCGTAGCATCCACTCAGAACACCCCAAAAACTACTCAGAACAATATAGCATCCACTCAGAACACCCCAAAAACTACTCAGAACACTGTAGCATCCACTCAGAACACCCCAAAAAGTACACTGTAAAAAATGTTTAATTTTAAATGTAAAATTTTGTAAAAACGCTACGGAAAAAAACTGTTAATAGGTTAACAGTAAGTTCCCGTACTATATACAGGGAAAAACGGTAAAATATCTAACCAGACATTTCATGCTAATTTTACAGTTTTTAGAAGTAAAAATAACAAATCAATGTATAATTTACAGTCAAAAAATTACAGTTTTATACTGTCCACTCAGAACACCCCAAAACTACTCAGAACACTATAGCATCCGCATCCACTCAGAACACCCCAAAAACTACTCAGAACACTATAGCATCCGCCTCCACTCCGAACAGCCTAAAAACTACTGAGAACACTATAGCATCCGCATCCACTCAGAACACCCAAAAAACTACTCAGAACACTATAGCGTCCACTCAGAACACCCCAAAAACTACTCAGAACACTATAGCATCCGCATCCACTCAGAACAGCCTAAAAACTACTGAGAACACTATAGCATCCGCATCCACTCAGAACACCCAAAAAACTACTCAGAACACTATAGCGTCCACTCAGAACACCCCAAAAACTACTCAGAACACTATAGCATCCGCATCCACTCAGAACAGCCTAAAAACTACTGAGAACACTATAGCATCCGCATCCACTCAGAACA